CATGATAGCATAAATACTTACATCGTACTCCGTGCCGAAACAACAACTAGTTTAACAAACATGCGTGATCCTAGTTCATGTTAAATTGACTAATGCAGCACATGCAGGATATAATTAGATAGGCTCGGCTAACCTAAACATGGTATGTGAAATGCTACAACTATCACGTATTCAATTTGGAATTGAAGTACAAATGTAGTTTGCGTGATGTACCGAGCCTGGTGCATGTAAGGCAAATGTATGGATGCACGCATGCATAGCATAAGGTATGCTAATTTAAAAATGCCCTAGTCTACCAATCATAAGCAGGTAAGTAAAAGGAAGAAAGAAGTGGGGTTGGAAGACATACACACCACTCACACACACTTATTACAGATTTGCCCTCGCCCGGAGGGACCAAATAAATAATACAAATTAATTAACTACGCAAGCTAATTAAATATTACATATTGCCTAATCAGTTAACAAACTAATTAAGCTGGGAAAAACAGATAAATCGCCTCGGAGGAGAGCTCGATGCAATGCATGCTCGGTCCTGCTCGGAAGTGCACCGCCATGCATAGGCTGCCTCTGTTTTCCTTGCTGTGCTCCTCTGGAGGCTACCAAAACATCAGGACTGCTTCTCTGGATACTGGGGAATGCCATCGGCTGAGTAGGATTACCACCGGCAGTGGTATGTGGTCACCGGCCATCTATGAAGCTATCGGCAGAAGGATAATTGCCCGGTCGGCACTGGACACTGCCGGTCGGCAGAAAGCTCCTGCAGAATCTGCAATTGACAGCAACAGAGGGCAAGGCAGAGCATGGCAATACAATTCAAGGCATATATGCACCAATCATGTCCCTTATCATGTTAGTGACTCAAAGGGACATGTCCTTGTTCTCGGACCATCAATCACGCATTTCGATGCGTGATGGCCCAAGGGACCAAGTGTGGCACACTTTGATGTCAAATGACATGCAATGCAAACCAACAAACAAATGGGGACTTAACCTCTATCATGGATAGTCAAGAGGTCAAGCATGCATGCCAATGCAATGCAACCTAAGCATGTTAACTAGGCATGCAATACGGCAATGCAAATGAGCATGCAAGAAACGCAGGCATAGGCAATGCAACTAACAAGTTTGCAAGGCTAATGTAGGCATTCAAGCACGTAAGCCAACATGTGACTTCATTCAATCATGTGATTTCAAACATGCGACAACTCACCGATATACTACAATATACAAGGAGAGCATGCGACAGGCCTTCGGCACCGAGTCAGGGTTTCCTAAATTTCCCCATAAAAAATATTTAGGTGGCGACTCTGTATCTGGCAAAGCAGTCCATGTTTAGCACTTCTTTTCAAAAATCTGTTTCTCAAAACGATTTGTCGGATTTGGACTCTTTGGTTCAAGATTAAGAACCGTAACGATTTAAGAGTCCGAGCTGTAGTGACCCCCAAAATGAATGGAACGGGACTCACCCCCCCGGGGCGTTCGGGGACGTCTACAGTCCCTTTGGCCTTGTGAGGCTTGGTTGACCTAGCCTTGGTTTACCTCCCCTTTGGCTTGCCTTAAGTTTTGGACCATGTTGCATGTTTGGCTTGTCTTTGTTTAGTTGGTTTGAACACCTTTCTAACATGATTTTCAGAGCTTATGTGCATGCCATTAGTCCATGTTTGCATCTTCTTAAGTGTGCTTGAGAGTTGCTCTTTGTGCATAAGTGATGGACCATGTTTATGTGCATGCTTATATGTGCAATTGGCCTCATTTCCTTAGTTGTTGGTCACTTTTTTTGGGCTTGCTTGAGGGCTGCCTAAATTGGTTTAAGTCCACCCTTTGTGTGTTGATTGTATACTTGGCATATCATGTGTTGTTGCATGTTTAGGTGACTTCACATTTGGCATGCATTTATCTCGGCTAAGTTGCCCAACATGTTGTCACATGCCTTGCTTACTTGCATGCCCATATTACATGTTGAATGCTTGTCATCCCATGCCTTGCATGATTGATTCCTTAGGTTGTGTGCCTAGCATCATCATTTGCTTGCATGCCCATATTGCACACTTAGGCTCACATGCTTAGGATTACATTGCATTGGCATGCGTGCCTTTCCTCTTGAATTGATTGTGATAGAGGTTGAGCTCCATTTGTCTGTTTATGTGCATTGCATGACATTTGAAATCAAAAGTGCACACTTGGTTTCTAGGGCCATCACGCATGGAAATGCGCAATTGGTGGTCCGAGAACCGAGAATCATATCACTTTGAGTTATGAATATGATAAGGGGTGTGATTGGTGCATACATTGCTTGAAATACATTGCCATGCCAAGTTCTGTCCTCTGCTGCTGTCAAAACAGATTCAGCAAGAATAATTGGCCGGCCGGCAGAGTAGAGTGCCGATCGGCAAAGAGTGTTTGGCCGAGAGCACAATTTTTAGCCGATGACCATTCTAAATGGCCGGTGATGATATCACTCAGCCAGTAGTGTCCCAAAACACTCAGAGAAGCAACCTTGGGAGTTGTACAATTTTCAGAGAAGCAGAACGTTAAAGCAGAGGCAAACTTGTGCATGGCGTTGGATTTCCGAGCAAACCCGAGCATGCGTGCATTTGATCCTCTTCCCAAGGCCTTTACTGTTTTCTTAGCTTAGTTGATTTGCTTAACTAATTTAGTTGGTCTCTAATAATTAATTAGCTAGGATAGTTGGTTTGCTATTCGGACTGTATTATTCTTTCGCACCCTCCGAGCGAGGGCAATTGTGTAATAAGTGTGGGTGCGTGTGTGCATGTCTTCCAACCCCACGTCTTTCTTCCCTTTTATTTACCCGCTTATGATGGTAGACTAGGGCATATTTAAATTAGCATACCTTATGCTGTGCATGCGTGCATCATTCATTAGTCTTGCATGCACCAGGCTCGGCGCATCATACTAACTGCATAAGTATTTCAAATCTAACTTGAATACATGCTACTTGTGCATTTTCACATGTCATTTATAGACTAGCCGAGCCTACGCTGGTTGCATTCTGTATGCGTTGCATTAGCCACTTTAACATGAACTAGGATCACGCATGTTTGCTAACTAGTTTATTGTTTTGGCACGGAGTACATTGTAAGTATTTATGCTTTAGCATCTCGCAAGCGTGTGAATGTTAACATAATTGCACGATTACCATGAGGCTAGCTGCTTATGTGATATAACTGCTTGAATGCCTGTAGATGAAGGTCAAATTGCTTAAATTGGGATAATGCATTAAAACTGTGAGTTTTAAGCCCACTAGATAGTGGCAAAATCATGTTTTTCTAAAAGCCCACTCGAAGGTGGAAAAACTCGCATTTTAGCCTACTTGCGAGTAACAAACCATTTTTCAAAACAAACATGCTATGTTTTGTTCCAATTCAGGGGATTTGGTCTATACTTGTTTGCTGTGCGCATAACATAGTAATTCTAGGCTAATAACCGGAATAAGAACACATAACGTTTTCAAAAACGGATATCACGGTTAGTAGAGGCTGATCTTCGGATCGGGCGAGAGGGGGTGCTCATAGCTGACCGTCCCCAATCGTACCCAAGCTCCCGAGCCAAGGCAACTTTGGTGATGACGGACACGTGGCCTTTGGCACCAAGTCAGGGTTTCCTAAATTCCCCTAAAATAAAATATTTAGGTGGCGACTTTGTATCTGGAAAAGCAGTCCATGTTTGGCACTTCTTTTCAAAAAATCTATTTCTCAAAACGATTTGCCGGATTTGGACTCTTTAGTTCAGATTAAGGACCGTGACACAAATTGAGTCCGAGCTGTAGCGAGGCCCGCGGGTGCGTCTACAATGCCATTCCTTCATTATGAGGTATGTAATAATGTAACTTCTGTTTTGACAATTTTGTTCTTGTTATTGTTCAGGATGAATTATTTTATGGCAACTTTAACACTCGTAACTTCTATGAGTTGTTGCAATACTCTCTTACATGATTTGCAACATATGCCACACATTTCCTTCTGGAATCATTAGATTATATATATAATTTGGGGAACATATTTCTTTAATTGATTTGGGAGTGTGATTTTTTATTTCTTGAACTTGACATCTATCAGTAGAAGTCCTCTCCACCTCTATTTTTTCTTCGTTAGTAAAAATTAATGCTTTTGATTAGTGATTGTATCTGATGCCCAATCATTTATGTAGTGGAGCATGACACAAACCTAACTGTGCACAACTGAAACATAAGAGCAGATCATGCATGGTTTTCTAGTTATTATAATGACAAGCATCATTATGATTGTGTGGCTGTGTGTAATTCATATCGTTGTGTGGCTATATGTAATTCATATCGTTGTAGTAACATAAGTCATTATTTTTGTGGGACATTGGTGTTTTCTTTTTCATCCACTACAGTGATATAATGTGAGTTGTTATTTTGGTGGGACACTAAGTATATCTTTTGATTTATTCCAATAATATGTCACTTTAATTTTGGTGGAAATTATTATTTATTTAATCCACATCTTTCTTTCATGTTAATTTTTCACTTTACATCTCGTCTAATGGATCCTTTATGCAATATAATTGATGGACTACATTTACTAATGACATTTTATAGATAGATTCTGTGGACCTTCACATACTAAATCCAAAGTACCACTGGCCATTTAAGTATCTTTTGTTCTAGGATATTTTGAAGTGAGAAAGCAGCTGCATCTGGAGTATAAGGTAATCAATTGATTCCTTTTTCCATTTTTTTGTTTTTGTTTTTGTGTTTTTTTTATCTTCCTTAGGTATGTATAATCACTAGATGATTTGCTATAATCACTAGTCAGTTTTGTTTGGTCCAGCAGGCTGATTTTTGTGTGACTAGCTACCCAACATGGGTCTGACTGGTGTTTGTGTTGGATCTAGCAGGTTGATTGACTTGGCTACCTTAGTGATGTGGATCGTCACTGCAGTATTTTCGAACTCCTAGTGATATGTGAAATATCTTGTAGCATATTGTTGTTGGAATTGAGTAAATTGAATCATATTATAAAGATGATAGACAAGATGAACATTGACAAACTCTCTGTATGTAAAGATTTTGACCCAATTATTGCTGAGAATCTTATAATTACTTGTACCCTTGTGTATGCTATGAAACTGCTTTATTCCTTTTCTTTTCTCTATAATCCCCACCTTGTAGTGTCTCTCGCCTTTCAATCTGTGGAGGATTTTCACAATGCAGTAATAGTTGAATGCAAGCTGACATGACATCTCTATTTGGAACTGTAACATACCAGTCAAATCAATCTTTGAGTATCTTCTTGGGCAAGGTTATTTTTGTTTCTTTCCTTTACATTATGTGTGGATTCCATGCTAACGATTAACTCGGTTTTGTAATAAAGTGACCCCTTTTTGATAAGTAAAACTTTACTTTGATAGTTGATCTGATCCTTCTTAACACTACGTGCAGCCTTTTTCTGCAAAGTTTCAAGGAGGAAGTACATAGAGCCAGCTCAAAGATTACAGGTTATGTTTCTTCCTTCAGTGCACACAAATAGTCACAGAAGCCGGATTCTTCCCTCCTAAGGTATGCATTGAGCTTTCATTCAGCCTCTGATGCCATTTTCCGAAGCTCAAATAGTGCAGAATGAAAAACAAGTGAGCTAGAGGTTTGTACTGTCAATTTTTTAGTTTCTTACTAACTCTGGTTGCATATTATCTTCTCAAACTTGAGGTAATGTGCAAAAGAGACTGATAGATGTTAGTGACAAGTGGTAGTGGATGTAATAGAAATGGTAGATGATCATTACAAGAGACAAACTAGACCATCGTTTGATTAATATTTGAATTTTTTTTGGATTTTTTTTTTTTTTGGATTAATAGGCTTGTTCCTCCGTCTCCTTGAGTTCCAAAGACAGCTCAATGCAACAAAAGTTGGGTGAGCGGTTGATTAACATCTAAAGAACAACGTTGGAAACACATACAATATTAGAGGTATAAAAAATTAACCAAACCACTTAAGTTCAATTTGTGTTCATCTTGTTTGAGATAGGTTTGAACATGTCCTAAAACTCGTTAATTTTCTTGTTTGGGTAAGCTAGCTTCATTTGGTACTGTTAATTCTGTTGAATTGCATGCATTTAAATTCATGCATGTAATAAAACATTAGTGAATTTTTATCAGAAATGTTGGAAAAGGCAATGGCAACTCCTCTAACTATTTCACCAATATGGTGTTCCCCATTACTTGAGGTATGTCTGTATATGAACAAACACAGACCTCTGCATATAATTTCTCTCTGGTGCAAAGAAGACAAATTGATCGCCTTTCAATCTGTGGAGGATTTTCGCAATGCAGCAATCAGCTGAATGCAAGCTGACATGACATCTCTGTTTGGAACTATAACTTACCAGTCAAATCAATCTTCGAGTATCTTCTTGGGCAAGGTTATTTTTGTTTCTTTCCTTTACATTAGGTGTGGATTTCATCCTAACGATTAACTTGGTTTTGGAATAAAGTGGCCCCTTTTTGATAAGTAAAACTTTACTTTGATAGTTGATCTGATCCTTCTTAACATTATGTGCAGCCTTTTTCCGCAAAGTTTCAAGGAGGAAGTACATAGAGCCAACTCAAAGATTATAGGTTATGTTTCTTCCTTCAGTGCACACAAATAGTCACAGAAGCCGGATTCTGTGTTTCCCTCCTAAGGTATGCATTGAGCTTTCATTCAGCCTCTGATGCCATTTTCCGAAGCTCAAATAGTGTAGAATGAAAAGCAAGTGAGCTAGAGGTCTGTACTGTCAATTTTTTAGTTTCTTACTAACTCTGGTTGCAAATTATCTTCTCAAAGTTGAGGTAATGTGCAAAAGAGACTGATAGATGTTAGTGACAACGTTGGAAACACATACAATATTAGAGGTATAAAAAATTAACCAAACTACTTAAGTTCAATTTGTGTTCATCTTGTTCGAGATAGGTTTGAACATGTTCTAAAACTCGTTAATTTTCTTGTTTGGGTAAGCTAGCTTCATTTGGTACTGTTAATTCTGTTGAATTGCATGCATTTAAATTCATGAATGTAATGAAACATTAGTGAATTTTTATCAGAAATGTTGGAAAAGGCAATGGCAACTCCTCCAACTGTTTCACCAATATGGTGTTCCCCATTACTTGAGGTATGTCTATGTATGAACAAACACAGACCTCTACATATCATGTTAATCAACTTGAGCTGATTTGAGTTGTTTGCTTCAATGGGGTCCATTGATTGGTTGTTATGATGACCTGTCTGTAATACATATTGTTTAATGGTTATTAGATTTGTGATTTTATGATTGTGATTTATTTATTTTTGGTTACAATTGTTCTGTATACAGTTTGAAATTACTGCTAATCTTCTACTCGTTGCTATTGGGTTTTAGCTCTTTCTTGTTAGCTTCTAAAAATCTTATTAGTCGAACAACCTGAATTAGATGTTTTATTCTTCCATGTCATGGAAGACTTGGTTGCTAGGAGAAATGAATCATGTTTCTTAATTGTGTACTTTGATCATAATACTATGTGCTGTTGCCATTTCCATTTTAATTATTCATTGTTATGTAACACTCTGCTTGGTTGCAGAAAATTAGACGACATTCCGACAACAATTTCATTCCAATGAAAATCATGAAATTGAATTTTCCAAATGGTAGAGATTTACATACATGTTCCTCCATGTTTTAATAAATCGTTGCACCAATAACTATCAATTGATGTTGCAAACTTTGTCTATCTTGTCTTCCTCTCCATATCTTTTTGTCTTTTGGGTTAATTTTTATTTCTTTATTTAGTTTTTAACAGGAAAAATGTCATTGATGGTTTTATTGTAAGCAGGGGGAACTAAAGCTTGTTGGAAGGCTTCAACTTGCTTCCCAGTGCTGTAAAGAGCACATGATTGGTTTTGCAATTGTGTTGTACTGTAGTTGATCTCCCCCACCCCTCCCCCCACCCTTTTTTTTTAATGCCAGACAAATTCATAGATATCATGATTTTTTTTGTGCCGATCTGTTTTGTAATAACTTTCAACTTACTACTAGGCACTAGTTTAACTTTATTTCATCTTGGAATTGAAATATTTTTGCATATTGAGAAGCATGGATTGATCCAGTATTATGTTTACCTAAATTAAGTCAATATATTGAATATTTTTCATCTTTATTGCAAGTATTTTTTTAGTTAAATCTCACAGAATTAGCACAATTTCAAAAAGAATAAAAAATGAAGCTATGACGGCGTTTTTAAGCGTCACTATAGAATAATATTAACGGTTATATTTTTAAAATAAAAAATATTTATCACGACGCTTTTAAAACGTCACTAAATGTTGAGTGACGTCATTGGACCGTTATGCAGCATATTTAGCGGCGTCTTAAAAAACGTCGTCTATACTAAATATAGCGACGCTTTTAAAGCGTCATAAAGCTATAGCGATGGCCGCATCTTTGACGTTTGGTACTAAACGCCACAAAAACAATTAGCGGCGTTTTTGATAGCTATAACGGCGTTTTTTAAACGCCACTAAAAACCTAATTTCCAGCAGTGATATATATAACACCTTTTATATATATAAAATATATAAATATATAAATATTCAAATTAATTATATATAATTAAACATCACATTAAATTAATTAAATACCACATTAAATTCTCATATATCCACACAATTAATAAAGCCAAAAACAAAATAAAGTAATTATAATAAATAATGACTTACGAAATATCAAGGTCGCTACAATATATACACCTCAAAAGAATCTCGTCCCGAGATTCGATAGTAGAAAGTACTAAGCAAAAAGCTCCAGGTGCGTATGCCGAACTTTCTCTTCTAATTCCCAAGTGATATCGTTCTCATCATCGCTCCATTGCACTTTCAGCAAGTTCACTTTCTTCTGCCGCAACTGCTTTACATCCCGATCTAGAATAGTAACTGGTCGTACTACATACGTGAGATCATCATTAATCTCCAATATTTCTGGTGATACTACTTGGGAAGAGTCTTGCACACACTTCCGTAATAAAGGTACATGGAACACATTGTGAATCATAGCTAAAGCAGGTGGTAAGGCTAATTTGTAAGTTACATTACCAATTCTCTCAGTGCTCTCGTATGGTCCCACAAATTTAGGTGCCAACTTTCCTTTCTTTCCAAATCGCATGATATCCTTCATCAGCGAGACTTTCAAAAACACAAAATCTCCAACATTTAACTCAACCCCCTTACGTTTTCTATCAGCGTAACTCTTCTAACGAATCTGTGTAGTTTTAACGCATTCCCAAATAATATTCACTTTCTCTGTGGTCTCTCTCACCAACTCTGGTCCTAATAATGGCGCATCTCTTATTTTCATCCAATAAGCAAGTGATTGACATGGCCTCCCATACAATGCCTCAAAAGGTGTCATCCCGATATTAGAGTGATAGCTATTATTATAAGCAAACTCTACCAATGGCAAGTGTTTTTCCCAATTATCACTAAGATTGAGAACGCAAGCTCTCAACATATCCTTCAAGATCTGATTTACCCGCTCAGTTTACCCATCCGTTTGAAGATGATAAGCCGTGCTCAAGTTTAACCTAGCACCCAAAGTACGCTGAAAACTCTCCCAAAACTCTGCCATAAACAACGGATCACGATCCAAAACTATAGAAACTGGTGCGCCATAAAGTTGCACCACCTCACGAATATACAGCCTAGCTAGTTTATTCGCAGTTCGGTGAACATTGATAGGAATAAAATGAGCAAACTTGGTGAGTCGATCCACTATCACCCAAATAGCTTCATTGCCTCACTTAGACTGCGGCAATCCATCCACGAGATCCATGGAGATGTACTCTCATTTCCAAGGAGGGATCTCGAGAGGCTGCAAAAATCCAAACAGTCGTTGGTGTTCTACTTTAACTTGTTGGCACACATAACATTGGGAAACATACTCTCCTACGTCCTTCTTCATACCTTCTCACCAAAACGTCATCTTCAGATCATGATACATCTTAGTCCCACCAAGGTGAATGGTATATCGGGACCTATGGGCATCATTTATAATCTCCTTCCTTAATTCAACAATGTTAGGTACACACAACCTGCCCCTGAATCTCAATCCCCTATCTGAGTCTACAGACCAATCAGTAGGACAATCATTGATCAAATCCACTACAAGGTCATCGAGCTTGCTGATAAGGAACCCATCTAAATACTACATTTGACGAACTTTACCCAGTAATGTCGGTTGCATGGTCAAACTACCAATGTATGCCTTCTCGACACTCACTATTGGTTAAACATTATGCATCGAAACCAACTTTAAAGACTTTCATTCCTGAATCATCAAAGAAACTATAATCCCGCGTTATCGACTAAGTGCATTTGCAACCACATTTCCTTTTCCCGGGTGGTAAATGATCTCGAAATCATAACTACTGATGAATTCAACCCATCTTTGTTGCCTTATGTTCAACTCTTTTTAAGAAAAAAGATATTTAAAACTCTTGTGATCTGTGTATAACTCAAAGCGCTCCCCAAACAAGTTGTGTCGCCACACTTTTAACGCAAAAACAGCTGCTGCCAGCTCTAAGTCATGAGTAGGGTATCGTCTCTCATGAGGTTTTAATTGTCGAGAAGCATAAGATATAACCTTCTGATGCTGCATCAACACACATCTCAACCTAGTTCCATTCGCATCAGTAAACACTACTAGTTTTTCCCCTTGTACTGGTATTGTTAACACCGATGCTGTAGTCAAACGCTACTTTAACTCCTAAAAAGCTCTCTCACAATCATCTGTCCATAAGAACTTGACATTCTTGTCGGTCAACTTGGTCATGGGTGCTGCAATAGTGGAAAACTTCTCTATAAATCTCCTGTAATAACCGGCTAGTCCTAAAAAATCTCCTCACCTCTAAAGGATTTGTGGGCTACTTCCATTCTTTAATCGCAATAATTTTCTCAGGATCTACCGTTATCCCTTGATTAGATACAACATGTCCCAAAAATCAGACTTCTTTCTCCCAAAAATGACACTTACTGAACTTAGCGTATAATTGTTGCGCCCTCAAAGTCTACAACACAACTTTTAAGTGTTCTCTATGTTCTTTCTCATTCTTAGAATACACTAGGATATCATCTATGAAAATAACCACAAACTTATCTAGATACGGTTGAAAAATTATGTTCATCAAGTCCATGAAATAGGCAGGGACATTTGTCAAATCAAAAGGCATTATAGGAAACTCGTACAACCCATACCGAGTCCGAAAAAAGTAAGTGGTATACTGGCCCCGTTTAGTAGAGCTGTGGGAAAGTGATTATAACTTATAACCGAACAGCTTATAGCTTATAACTGTGAACATAAGCTAATTTTTGACTTATAAATTAAGCTTCTCCTCCCCCACTCAAAGAATAAGTTGATTTTTGGTTTACAAAAAGTTATGAGCTGTATTATTAAGCTGAACCAAACACATCAAAATAGCTTAAATTAAGCTAAAAGTTGAAATAAGTTGGAAATAAGTCCTACCAAACAGGGCCACTTTCCTCTGACACACCCATCTGATGGTAACCCGTTTTGAGATCAAACTGATAGAACACAGTTGTCCCCTTTAACTAATCAAACAAGTCTTCAATTCTAGGTAGCAGATACTTGTTCTTGATAGTCACTTTGTTCAACTCTCTGTAATCTATGCACATGCGGAGAGTGCCATCTTTCTTGAAGACAAAAATCCCAGGTGCTCTCCACGGGGAGTTACTTGAATGAATGAACTCTTTTTGAAGCATCTCTTCCAGCTGGTTCTTTATCTCCACAAGCTTCTTAGGTGCCATTCTGTATGCTGCCTTAGAAATCGGTGCAGTTCCCGCCAG